AGACTCCAAGGGAGAGGGGCTTTGTCAATACTGCCGTTTCCAATGTTTAAGCTCTAATGTTGCAAGAGAGTTAACTCCTGTGTGTGTATATATGACTTGGGGCACAAAGACAGAGACACCCAGAGATCTCTGTGATGGGGAGTGCTCTTCCAGGCTGGTCCTCCTCCCTCCCCGTCACGTGGTTTCTGCCTGTTTCTCTGACTGTCTTTCCCTGTTCGCCCTTGCTTGCCACTTTATCAGTTGACTTTTGTGTCTGAGCACTTCCAATAGTGGGCTTTTCCATCTGTGTTATGTATATTGCCACTCTCTTTCCCACTGACGTCTGGGTTTCTGGAGAATTAAGGTTCTGCCTGTTGGGTTCACCATTATACTCTCAGTTCCCCAATATATACATCTGGTAGACCCTCAATAAATATTTGACAAATAGATAAAGGCTGGGGGCATGGCAGGAGAAGAGACATAGCTGCCTCCCACTCAGTTATGTAGCCCAGGCTGGCCTCAAACTCTTTACATAGCCAAGGATAACTTTGACTTTTTGATCCTCCTGTCCCCACTTCCACAGTACTGGGTTTACAGGCACATATCATGCTAAATTTATGCCTGGATTATACAGTGCTGGGTCTCAAACTCCCTATGCAGGTTATGCAAGCATTCTACCAACTAAGTGACATCCCAAGCCGCCAAATGTAATACCTCCTTCCCTTCTGGTTTTCTTTTCTTGTCTTTGGTTCCCAGACTGGGGATGGAGCCAAGGGCTCTGCCATTGAGCTGCGCCCCTTCTCCTCTATCTGTTTTCAATGGGGAGCGTGGTTCTCTCCTCCCCCTGAACTCTGGACTCCAGTGGCACCCCCACTTCCTACTGATCAATTATTCACTCAGCTCTAGATCTTCGCTTTGCCTTCCTTGGCTTGTTTCCCTCAGCACACACGCAAGATCACACCCTGTCCTAGAAGACGAAAACCTAGGTCCTGTGATTTGATGATGCGCTCTGTATCTACATCTGCCTTCTTTCCTTTTCCCTGGGGGAGAGTAGGTAGGTCAGTTCCCCCCACCCACTCTCTGACGGTACCCACCCCTCAGGTTTCTACGACCTGTCCCCGTCCCTGTCACTGTTCTGACACTGTTCCAGATCAGCCCCGGTGACCTGCCAGCTCTGGTCCTATTTCCTTTCTTATCAGCCTTGGCACTGTCTCCAGAAAGCTGTCCCTCCTGCTCCGGCTCTTGTGAGACACAGGTGTTCCTCTCCCTCTCCAGGTCCCTTCCAAGTCCCCACAGAAGGCTTTTCCTCTTTCTCTCTGGGAATTGCCATTTTGGTCTCTTCCTTCTGCCCTCCTGCCTGTATCTTGTTAACTAATTTTCTCTCCCATGGTCTAAATGACCATTTATGAATGTGAATGTCATACCTTTGGTGACCTAAATTTATATTGCCAGCTATCTTCTAGATGTTTCTATTTTTATGGCCCTTCAAATTTAATATGCCCCGAGTTGAATTCACCATCTTTATGTATTTCCACAAACTACCTTTTCTCCTATTTCTCTCCAAGCAGAGAGATGGTGCCAACCACCTCTCAGCTACTCAGGAGCTTGCCAAGCTTGCTCATCATCCCCTGATCAACTCTGGTGCCAGGTCCTATTAAATTCACCTTCTAAGTATCTCTTGAATCCATCTGTCCACCTTTCTCAGCTTCTGCCTGAACTCAAACATTTTTCACCTCTTTCCTGGGCATCTCAGCAGCATCTGGATGCTTCTTCCTGTTGTAGCTTAACCTCCCCCGCCCTCCCCTCCCTCTGTCTTCTTCTCCCCACCCCCCTGCTTTGGAGAGGTGGTCTGGTTGTTTAGCCCAGGATGGTCTCAACTCACAATTCCCATTTGCCTGCTCCTGCTCCCTGGATTAGAGAGGTGCACCGACATATACAGCCTTGTTACTTTGTTGCTCTTAAGTGTCATTTTCATATGAAAAAATAACATATTCTCATCTAGTCAAATGATTGTAAGATTATTAAGGTAATAAGAAACAGTAAGGCCACACTGCTCTCAAGTAGTCCTCAAATCTAACCCCCAATACACAGTACATATTCTTCCTTTTTCTTTCTTTCCTTTCTTTCTTTCGTTCTTTTGTTTTTCAAGACAGGGTTTTTCTGTGTAGCCCTGGCTATCCTGAAACTCACTCTGTAGACCAAGTTGGCCTCGAATTTAGGAATTCACATGCCTCAACCTCCTGAGTATTGGGATTAAAGGTGTATACTACCACCACCCAACTCATTTTTTTTCTTTAAAGAAATATTTTATTTTTACATCCTGCAATTCCTTCTCTCCTCCCCCATCCCTTTCTTCTATATAGCCTAAGCAGGTCTAGAATTCTGCTGTGTATCCCAGGCTGACCTGGAATTAATTCACTGAGATCCATCTGCCTCCTCCTTCTGAGTGTTAAGATTAAAGGCATGCACAAGGCTTATGTATCTATTTATTTTGAAATTCTTGTATTTTAAGAGGTACTTCTTTTAATGTTAATATCTCCGAAGCACTCTTCAGTTTGGTTAAATTCAGCTGTGCAAGGTGTCCTTTTTTATTCATTCCGATACATGCGCTTTTTTAGCCATAATTCTAAATTAGTGTTTACTATCAGATCTTTCTAAAGTGCAAATCTGATCTGGTTGCAACTCTGGGAAATTCTTAAAAGGCTCTCTGCCTTGGAGACAGGGGTTGCCTATCCCCTTCTTCTAACTCTCCCTCCTCTGGCCCCCACCTTTCTACACATCTGCACCCCCTCTACCTTAAAGTCAAGCAGCTATATTTGCAGCTAATTCCTTAAAATATTTGAGTGAAACCAGAGCCCTCTGCCTAGAAGTGTCTTCGGTCTTAAAGGTCTCGCTTACCTTTTTAAAATGCAAGTGGTCACTCACTGAGCCAAGCCTGAGCTCTTGCTTCCTGTAACCCCTGGACCTCAGATTATGGTACATGCTGTCCCTAAATTAGGTAGCGTGCAAACCCATGTCATTTCTCTGGTATTTTAACAGCAACACAGAGTTCCATATATATATATCAACATTCTTCTTTCTATATACCCACTTCTAACAGTGCCCAGCAATGTAGCCAAGAAATAAATACCTTTGGAAACAATGAACTACATATGAGGAAAGCAGGGAGATGCCCTTATATAAGATGTAGAGCCTTCCAGCTAACTACCCCCTTACCTTAAGACAAGAGGACACTAAACCACTTGGGTATCCAGAAACCAAACCAACTGTGGACCTAGTAATTCTATCCCTAACTGAAGGTGAATGGTGTCAAAACTTTTAACATCTGCCCCTCTTATCTTAAAGTATTGGAAGTTGGGACCCCCATTCTACCTCTTGGCCACTTGTGCAACTCAACATATATATGTGTGTGCAAGTCACCAAAGAGGGCTTCTCCTGACTTGCCCCCCTGAGGTTTCCATTTGGATCCCTCCCACACCTACAAATCCCACTGAGCCCCAACAAATAACTACGAGAGCCGAAGTTGAGCAGAAAACATTGGCTTGAATGATTACTGTAGGGGTCTCAGCGTTATATGGAGACATCAGTGGGAACGGTTTCTCCATGGCAACCCACTATGGATTTCCATTCTAGAAACTGCCCCAAATAGACAGTCCTTCTTTCTGACCTAGATAATTTAAAGATTCCAAGTCATTCATGGAAAAGTACCAGGATACTGTTGAGATTTTAAATCAAGCACTTTCGATGTGGTCTATCGGGCAATCACTGAGAATGGTCTGTAGTGGTGACAGCGCCTAGCAGGAATGAGGCCCTGGATTCTATCCTCATTGCTGGAGGGGTGGGGGGTTGGGGGGGTAGAAAATGTCCATGTCAAAGCGTGTTGACTATTGTAGGACCGACATACTCGAGATATTCTTAGTGAAGGATCCAGAGCTGCAAAACAAAGCGGAGTAAGAGATGAGAACAGGAGAAAGGTGTCAAATGCCAGGGAGAGAGAAAATGGAGTTTATCGCTAGAAATGTGGCTGTCACGGGAGGATGCTGACGCTGGCATTTGCGCTGGCAGTTGGGGAAAGGTGGGGAGGGGCAGCTGCAACCAGCCGCGCAGAGATGGGAGGGCGCTTGGTGCGACAAAGACAGATCCTGTAGATAAAGCACAGCATGCAAACGGATTCAAGATAAAGGAGAGGCACCCAGACCAGACAGAAACGGAGGGCAGTAGCAGCTGCTACTGAAAAAGAGAGAACGCACTGTAAGTTAACTCTCCCCTCCTCAGAAGACGCCAAGGAAATACTTAGCACCACTCTAGAAGAGGCTCTGGATCAGGGTGGACCACACAGTCCTTCCACAGATCCAGCTAACATTCAGCCTAGGGTGGACGCAGACCTTTGTCACGTGTTCAACATTTTAAACGCGAGGAGGAAAACTTCCATTCTCAGAGTAAAGATTTCATCAAGTGGTCAATATGAAACAGATGGAACGAGTCTCTTCTGTTCACAAATCTTAGACTAAATAAAAAACAAAACAGCCCTGGGTATCAAATACCTTAGCAGGGGAGACACAATTCCTATTGTTTTTGGCTCCCCAGGCAATAAACTCCCTGACAGAGAATCCCCCTCCCCCTGCACTGTAACTGTAAGACAATAATGCAGGAAAAAGAAAGGCAGAAACCAACCTTGGGTGTAGCTTTCAGTGGTTTCGCTCTCAGCACAGATTTAGGGAGGTGCATTTGAACTCCTTGAAGCCTGTGCCCCGGGAGAGGCCTTCCCAGTACCTCGGTACCGCCAAACCAGAAAAGATTTGGTCAAGACCAAGGTGGAGTTCGGGTCCCAAACCTGCCACTGGGAACCCCAAGCCACTCCCTAGACCGCGTCAATAAAGAGAAACAGTGGAGAGCCTGTCTATTGGACCCCCACCCGTGTGAGCTGTAACTTGTGCCGCGGGGAGAGAGGAAGGGAGCCGACCTCCTTTTGCTTTTGTTTCCTGTGTGGAGGGCACTCTGAGGGACAACCGGTCGCCTACCTGCCTTGCACCTCCCGGGCCCGGGGAGCCTGGGCGTCCTGCAGAGCCGTTCGCCCCCGGCCTCACCTCCCAGCACTGTCCCCAGGTGGACCAGCCTGACTCACCCAGGATGGGTGGCGGTGGGGGGGGGGGGCACACATCAGAGGGCGGAGGTACAGGAGGCGGGCCGGGCCCTTCCCCCAGAGCCCAGGAGGCGTAGCCAGCGCGCAGGTGAAACCGACTCCGACCTATCCCGGGAACTTTCGCTGCGGGGACCGGCTGCCACAGGCCAGCGTCGCTCAGGGGCGGCCTGGGAGCCGCCCTCTGCCACCGGGGCTGCGCGCGGGGACTCAGCCTGGGCACCTGACCCTGGGGACCCTCGGCCCTCCCGAAGCGCTTCGGGGATGCGGGCGGCGCCGGTCTCTGCGGCTGATGGAGGCGGGTGGCGCCGCCCCGGGCGCAGGTGACACACGCCGGGCCCGGGTTTCTGTCGGAGTGGGAGTGCGCTGGGAGCTCGAGACGCAGCCGCCCCGGGGACCAGGGACCTGGCAGCGATGGCCGGAGAACTGAGCCAGGAGGCACTGCTGGACTTTCTGTGCCAGGCCGGGGGCCGAGTGCGTAACACGGAGCTGTTGAAACACTTCAAGGGCTTCCTGCGCGACCCTCACGTGCCTCCCGGCCAGCAGCAGCAGCGTCGCGAGCTCTTCAAGGGCTTCGTGAACTCTGTGGCCGCAGTGCGCCAGGACCCCGACGGCACCAAGTACGTGGTGCTCAAGAGGAGGTACAGGGACCTGCTGGGGGAAGAAGGCCTGCAGCGACCCACCGCTGCAGAGGGACCGCAGCGGGGCCGCCGCCGCCCGCGTGACCCGGAGGCACAGAAGCCGCCGGCAGGTGCGGCGACCCGAGTGGACTCAGGTGGCGATGAACTAGCGGGCAGCAGCGCGCGGGAGGCGACCCGGGCACATCATAGCCCGAGGGACAGCCCGAGGAATAGCCCGAGCCGGACGCCCCCGGGGCCCGAGGCTGCTCAGACCAGAGGCAGGTGTGCGGCGGTGGAGACGCAGGGTCGCTGCTGCTGGGAATGCCAGCAGAATGGCTGGGGGGACCCCTCGGGACAGCCCCTTCCCGGAGATCTCGAGGACCCCGCGGCCTCCTGCGAGGAGCGGGAGTTCACCGCGCCTGCTCGGGATGACCTCGGACCTCCCGGGTGGCTGCGGGAAGGAGCGTCGGCTGACCGAGCACCGGTGTCTGCGACGCCTGTCTGCCCTCCGGCTGCCGTCGAGGCTGCTGGGAGCCCGACGTCCCCGTCCGCGCTCCCGCCCCTCCCGGCTCCCTCCAGTGAACCGCTGGAGCTGTTTACCGCCGGCTTCCCGAACCATTCAACCCAGCAGCTGCAGCAGCAGCAGCGCACTCGAGAGTGGGTAGCCAGATACCCGCAGGTGCCCGAGGCCGGGAACCAGCGGCCCACTCGCGCCTGGTCGGTGTTGCCAGACAACTTCCTTCAGCTATCCTCGGAAACCGCCTTTGGGGTCTCGGAGACGCAGTTGGCGCTGCCAGAGTCCGAACTGTCTTTTCATTCTCTCCTTCCTGTAGTTCCTGATGAGTCCTCAGAGTCCTGGCCCGGGAACCCTCCACCCACTGTCTTTCGAAGCATTCGTTGCCAGCTGTCCCTCCAGGATTTGAATGACTTTGTGGATCAAGAGAGCCACGGCAGCGAGGAGAGCAGCAGTGGACCCAAAGAGTCTCCTGGAACCCCCGAAGAGTGGCTGCAGCCCGTCCTGAGAGTTTCCTCTTGGGGAGAGCTCAGGGATCCTATTGAGGGCCTGTCTGTGTCTTCAAATGAAGGCAGCCCCAGTCAGATCCGGCGGAGCCTCAGGAATAGAGGGAATGCGCCCAGTTCTCAGAAGGTCCCAACAGTGGCTAAAAACCTCGGAGACAACCCTCAAGAGGCTTCGCCCTGGCCAGCCCCCAAGTTCCGAAGGTCTTTCAGGAGGAGCACTCTAAGTGGGAGAATCAAATCCTCCTCCTCTTCTGATGAGGAGCATATTGATGAGGACTTGTTGAAAAGAAGCCGGCGCCCACCTCGGTCCAGGAAAACTTCCAGGGCAGGAGCCCTGCCCAGCCCAAGGGTGGATATTGTTTTGGTACAGAAATTACCGGACGCTAATGCTGTCGCAGGTCAGTCACACACCTCGTGGGTCCCTGGCAGGGATGGATCTGCAGCCATGATACCCCACAGATCTCCTGAGCACAGGTCACCACTTGTCCCCCTAGATGCCAGGGAACATGAATGGATTGTGAAGCTTGCCAGTGGCTCCTGGCCTCGTGTGGAGGCTTTGTTCTGGGAGGACCCCCAGTTGGCTTTGCACAGAGACTTCCTGACGGGGTACACAGCCTTGCACTGGATAGCAAAGCATGGTGACCTGAATGCCCTTCGGCGCTTGATTTCTGGAGCCCAGAAGGCAGGGGTTGCACTCGACGTCAACGTGAGGTCCAGTTGCGGCTATACCCCGCTGCACCTTGCAGCTATTCACGGCCACCAAGGAGTCATCAAATTGCTAGTACAAAGGTTGGCTTCTCGGGTGAATATCCGGGACGTCAGTGGCAAGAAACCATGGCAGTATCTGACCGGTAATGTCACTGGGGAAACATGGCAGCTCCTGGGTGCACCCCGGGGCAAACCCATCTTCCCTGTATATCCCTTAGTGCAAAGCTCCTCCCCAGCCAGGAAGGTCAAGAACCGGGAAGTGTCTAGAAATGTCACCCGGAAGAGTTCCTTGGCTGCTAGACTCAAAACTCAACACAACAAATGGAAATTGGCCAACCAATATGAGAAATTCCACACTCTAAAGGAGAGAGAAGAGTACAGCGACTGAGGTGGGCTCGTCTCTCCAGAAGGCAGAGTTCCTCCCCCCCACACACACAGAAGCTACTAAGTAGGTGAGAGAACCCAGGGGAAACAAACTGTTAGGGGTTGGTAAAGAGAAAGGACCCGTGAAATGGCGTCCTCGAGGGTCATCTCGACTTCTTAAAATTTCATATGTCTGGGCTATGAAATGTACACAAAAGCAGAACCAGGCACTCAATTCTGGAAGGGTCGCTCTCTCCTGAGTCTGTTTGGGCACAGGAAGGCACAGTGTTTTCTGAGGCAGTGCCAGGCCTTACTAGAAAGGGAGCAGATGCGTCAAAGAGAGGCAGTTGGTGGAACTGACGCAGCTCCTCGCGGTCTTCTCTGGCAGGAAGCTCCCTGGCTTCTGTTCATCTCCAGAATACGCCTTGGCGGAGTGGAAGGCACCAAGTTTGGAGTCAGATGGCCTCGCTTCACTTTCTTTACGTGCCTTTTGGCATTCCAACCGGTGGAAAAAAAATTGTTATTGGAGAGTGTAGAATTTGATTGAAGTGATTCCCTCAGTCCTGCGCCCGAGCCTTCCTGTGAGCAGCATCTATGGTGTAAACTGATGACTTTCTTCTCTGGGTATCTTCGCCAATGGTCAGAGAAGCAGACACGAGAGACCAAGTACGACCTTGACTCCATTCTCCAGAGAAACGACACCATTCCTGCCCTGTTTGTGTTTGTTTATTTCTGTTTGTTATTATTTTTTTTGTATCAATCCAAAGTGAGCTTCCCAGGTATAAAAGCAGTTTGGTTCTTTACTTGTATAATGACTGAGAGTCTTCATCCCGCAGGGAAAATCCCTGTGTAGCAAATAGAATCTTCTCTGTCATAGGTTTCAAGGTCAAAGCTGGTACTCAGGAGAACTGGGGTCGCTCTGGGGAAGCGGTAAGGGTTAAAACCATCAGAACTGTGTCAAGCAGCTAAGTATAACTTTATTTGCACTAAACTTTTTGCCAATTAAGATTAAATATTAGCCTTGAAGTACTGAATGTCTAACAGGAAGTGTCCCGGTCTCAGGAAGACTGATCAGTGCAGATCCCTGGCTGAAGCTGGAGACTGACAACTCTGGAAATCCCAGCAGAATGTACCAACAGTGATCCCAAAGAGGGCTGGAAAGTTCAATGTTCAATCAGAGATTACTTTTTTATGGAAATATGTTCATGTGTAGTGGCAATGATGCTGTATTTTTTTAAAGATATTTTTTGTGTTTCTTCTGGTTATTTTCCTGCATTAAAAGACCAGCGGATCATTATAATTTGTTATATTGTACCCAGCTGATTATTGCTAATGTTTTTACACAATGGGCTTGACGATCACCAAATCTTTCTGTTTCTTTGTAGTTTAACTTTGTGTTGCTGAATTCAGTCTCTTTCTTTTCTCCATCCCTCTCCGTTTCTCTAGGGATAGAATCTTGGCCATCATGTGTATTAGTCAAGTGTCCCTCTCCCAGCTCCTACCATTTTTAAACCAAAAAGGCAGAACAATCAATTCTAGGAATTTTTCCAATTGCATAGCCTTTTCATCCCTTATCTAAAGGACAAACCTGGAAAATCACATCAGAAAACATGATAGAGAAAGCAGGGGTTGGTAAAATGAAAATTTAAGTTTACAAAATAGATATCTGTGTAAATAATCTAGTAAACAGCTTCCTTTAGGAACCAGTGGGTTTGCCAGATCGTCACAACTGGATCAGCTTAACCAACAGATATTTCACACCGTGCTGTGGGGTTTATAAAATGAACAGGACATGATCTCTCTCTGCTAGAAGCTAAAAATTTAAACTATTTGTTCCTGGCTGCTTTCTACCTCGACTTGTTCCCGAGGTGTCTTTCAAAACAGAGTTCCACCAGAGAGAAGCTTGTAATAGTAGGCAAGGGGGGGTGGTGGAAGGCCTACGTATCAGGAATGAGGGCAAACTAATGTAATACAACACTCTGAATACCAGAAGTAAAAACTAAGTGTTCTGAAAGAGAGAGAGAAAAACGGAGAGAAACAGAGAGAGACAGAGAGACACAGAGAGAGAGAGAAACAGAGAGAGAAAAACAGAGGGACAGAGAATCCCTTAGGCTGAGAAAGCAGGAAGGGCTTGGTTCCCGCCAGGAGTGATACCGGCCTTCCCAAGAAACCAGCTTTGTTGGTTCCTCCGCATTCTTGCCGGCTACTTGTGTGTGGCTCCACACAGCCCTGGCACTGGCTGTTGCTCAGTGGTCAGAACACAGTCCCAGGCTCTTATCAGGACTTGCTCCTCG